TTTTTCTTTCTTTCTTTCTTTTAATATGTTCTACTTCCGTTTGTTTAAACCCCTTTCTATCTTCTTTCTTTCTTTCTTTCTTTTTTTTTATGTTCTACTTCCGTTCATTTTAAACCTTTCTTTTAAATTCTTTCTTTTTTCTTTCTTTCTTTCTTTCTTTTAATATGTTCTACTTCCGTTTGTTTAAACCCCTTTACAGCCTTTTTTCTTTCTTTTTTTCTTTCTATTTTTTCTTTTTTCTTTTTCTTTCCTTTCTTTCTTTCTTTCTTTTTAATATGTTCTACTTCCGTTCGTTTAAACCCCTTTACAGCCTTTCTTTCTTTCTTTCTTTCTTCCTTTCTTTCTTTCTTTCTTTTAATATGTTCTACTTCCGTTCGTTTAAACCCCTTTACAGCCTTTCTTTCTTTCTTTCTTTCTTTCTTTCTTTCTTTCTTTCTTTCTTTCTTTCTTTCTTTCTTTTAATATGTTCTACTTCCGTTCGTTTAAACCCCTTTACAGCCTTTCTTTCTTTCTTTCTTTCTTCCTTTCTTTCTTTCTTTCATTTAATATGTTCTACTTCCTTTCGTTTAAACCCCTTTCTATCTTCTTTCTTTCTTTCTTTTAATATGTTCTACTTCCGTTCGTTTAAACCCCTTTCTATCTTCTTTCTTCCTTTCTTTCTTTCTTTTAATATGTTCTACTTCCGTTCGTTTAAACCCCTTTACAGCCTTTCTTTCTTTCTTTCTTCCTTTCTTTCTTTCTTTCTTTCTTTTAATATGTTCTACTTCCGTTCGTTTAAACCCCTTTCTATCTTCTTTCTTTCTTTCTTTCTTTCTTTCTTTCTTTCTTTCTTTTAATATGTTCTACTTCCGTTCGTTTAAACCCCTTTCTATCTTCTTTCTTTCTTTCTTTTTTTAATATTTCTACTTCCGTCTGTTTAAACCCCTTTCTAAATTCTTTTTTCTTTCTTTTTTCTTTCTTTCTTTCTTTTAATATGTTCTCTTTCACTTCGTTTGTTTTAAACCCCTTTACAGCCTTTCTTTCTTTTCTTTCTTTCTTTTTTCTTTTATATTTTTTTCGTTTTCTTCCTTTCTTTTTCTTTCTTTCTTTTTAATATGTTCATTTTCTTCCGTTCGTTTCTTTCCTTTTAATATGTTCTACAGCCTTTCTTTCTTTCTTTCTTTCTTTCTTCCTTTCTTTCTTTCTTTCTTTTAATATGTTCTACTTCCGTTCTTTTTAAACCCCTTTACAGCCTTTCTTTCTTTCTTCCTTTCTTTCTTTTCCTTTCTTTCTTTTTAATATGTTCTACTTCCGTTCGTTTAAACCGCTTTCTTTCTTTCTTTCTTTTTCTTTCTTTCTTTTTTTTTAATATATTTCTACTTCCGTTCGTTTAAACCCCTTTCTATCTTCTTTTCTTTCTTTCTTTCTTTCTTTCTTTTCTTTTCTTTTATATTTTCTTTCTTTCTTTCTTTCTTTTCTTTTAATATGTTCTACTTCCGTTCGTTTAAACCCCTTTACAGCCTTTCTTTCTTTCTTTCTTTCTTTCTTTCTTTCTTTCTTTCTTTCTTTCTTTCTTTCTTCCTTTCTTTCTTTCTTTCTTTTAATATGTTCTACTTCCGTTCGTTTAAACCCCTTTCTATCTTCTTTCTTTCTTTCTTTCTTTCTTTCTTTTAATATGTTCTAATTCCGTTCGTTTAAACCCCTTTACAGCCTTTCTTTCTTTCTTTTAATTTCTTATTTCCTTTCGTTTTATATCTGTTACCACCTTTCTTTTAATGTCGCTTTCTTTTATCATTCTCTGATTATTTTATTTCCTCTTTGTTTAATTTCTGTTTCTCCTTTTCTTTTCAACTGTCATCTTTATTCCGTACACTCTTTTCTCTCTTTCTTTTACCGTTTATTTCTTTCTATTATCTACTTTTCAATTTTTCCTTTCTTTAAACTCTTCTTCTTCTTTCCTTTCATTAAATCTTATCTTTTTTTTTCTTCTAACATTAGTTTAATCATTTTTTTTCTTTCTGTATTTCTTCGCTTAGGCTGTTTTTCAACGTTTCTTCTTTATCAAAATAAATAAATAAAATAAAATAAATAACGTCCCCTTTTGTTTTATCCTCGCATTATTTTACCATATTTTTTTCTTCAATTTTTTTTCCTTTTCATCCATGGATGTATTTTACCTCATTCCTCTGGAAAATGTTATTTATTTAATTTAAACGTTTGATGTATTTAAGTTTTTTCAGTGTAATTACGTTTCCGTCAATCCATGACCTTTAAAAGTGCCCTGGTTTTCGGTTTCACTTGCCGATAATTTTTCCAGTATCCATTGAGATACATAATGTACTATTTGTTTTTATTATCTCAGCGTAGAAAACCCAAACAGAACCTCCAAGAAAATTCCGTGTGAGAGAAAAAGATAATCAATTTAAATTGCAAAATGGAGAGTTTGAACTTCAAATAAAAACCCGGCCTAATGAACCACCTCTTAGCCTTCTTAGTGCAAGCGGCTCCCAAACTAAAATCAGTTCTTTTAAGTATCATTTTGTTTTTTAATTTCACGATTTCTTAAATATCTTTTTCAGGTTTTAATTATTTCTTTGCATTTTCTTCAAAACAAAAAAAAAAAAAACAAAAACAGAAAAAAATCCGATTTGATGCCTGCACTTTTCTTTTTGCTATAAGTTTATTTTTATTTTAATCTCTATCGTTTATAATAATATTAATAATAATGATGATGATAATAATAATAATAATAATAATAGTTATTATTATTATTATTATTATTATTATTATTATTATTATTTTTGAGAAATGTCAGGTGCCGGGAGATGAGGTTCAAGTGACAGCAAGTCTCATTATATTTTTTTTTGTGTTTTAAATTACATCCACGCTGACTTTAAAATGTTTCTCTAGCGAATTATAAATCCTCCCAGGATTGATTATTGGCGGTCACAATCATAACACTATAAGATATGCAGATGTCACAGTGTTGATAGCAGTCACAGAAAGGAAACTACAAGATATCCTACAGGAGGTATTGAAGGAAACTGAGAAGAAAAGAGTTAAAAAAAAAAACACAATCACAAGAAGAGAGAATTCATGATTGTCGTCAAAAAGAAGCGACCAACATACAAACAACAAATTCTTCTTGAATATATCATGTCCTTTCTGGAGTTTGCTGATGATGACTCTCCACAATTTCCTGTCCTTTACAAATGTCTTTTGCTATTCATTTCTGTTCAGCCATCGATTTACTCAAGCTTGCTAGGTAGCGTTGTTTCCGTCTGTTCCTCTTGCCTTTGATATGTCTTGAGAGCATCAAATTTTCCAAGCCTTCTTTCCCCATTATGGGCCCTGTAAATTTCGATTCTGTTTTTTTATGTTAAGTATAAATCTCTTTTTTGTGTCTATTCTCTCTAAAATATCGTCGTTGTTAAGTCAATGGTATCCTCAGCATCCTTCTGTAGATCCGTATTTCTATTGCTTCAAGTCTTTTCTTCATCTGTGAGCAGGTTGTACAGCATCCATTGCCATAAAGGAAGACTGATATTACGTAAAATATCAGTTTTCTTTTCGTTGTTTAGAACGAAATTTCCACGTTTCTTAATATTTTGCTTAGCTTTAGAAAGACATCATTCGCTACCCAAATGAGCCTTTGGATTCCAGTGTCGCACATTTCATCAGCTGTTAAAATACTTTCCAGGCATTTTAAATTGTTGTAATTGCTTGATTAAAGACATATGACACATATAATAATAATAATAATAATAATAATAATAATAATAATAATAATAATAATAATAAATAATAATAATAATAATTGTTATTAGTAGTAGTAGTACTAGTACTACTACTACAACTTCTACGACTTCTACTTCTACCGCCACCACAATTTTTTGTCGTTGCTTACAGAGATCAATGAGAGCGTTCTCCCATAATTAAAGCTATCGTAGTTTCTACACTATTTACATTGTTCGGACTGTTGTCTACATCTTTATAATCATATTTACAATATTTCGGCCGTTGTTCGCTCCAGCATACTTCAGCTGATATTTTTTTGAAATTCAAATCAACCCAGAATAGTCAATCTGCATGTTGGTGTTTCTGAAGATTGGTTAGATGAAGTGTGTGCAGAGAGCCTTCCCGTGTTTATTTCCTGAATATGGGTTGACAAATAAACTTTTTCATTCCTGGGTCGCTAAGTAAAGTCTCTGAGTGTGTATTCCATTTCGTCATCTTTAGAAACGCAAACATACATACTTATATCTTCAAACAGGTTTGTCACGCAGTGAAATGGCAGTCATTTTAGCTATGCAAATTTAATTTTTAATGGATTCCCTTATTTGATTGAACTATACTTTTATTGAAACTGTGCACTCAACAAAACTTGAATCGAAACCTCACCCACTCCCCCGCTTGTCAAGAGAAATTATCGTCTGACCGGCGTGTTTTGACCGTTCAGATACGTTTATCTACTAAATAATAAAAATATGTCGCATTAAAAAATTAAAATAACACACACACAACATATAACACACACACACACATATACTTATATATATATATATATATATATATATATATATATATATATATATATATATATATATGCATATGTGTGAATATATATATATATATATATATATATATTACATATATTTATATATTTATTCATATATATATATATATATATATAAGTTACATATATATTTATATATATATAAATATTTATACATATATATATATATATATATATATATATATATATATATATATATATATATATATATGGTTCAGATGTGTATTTCAAAAGATTTACTGATTCAACTTATAATAGGTGCGGTTTACAGTTATCTTTTATGAGCCAAAACTTATCTCGTGGCTTCAGGAATTAATGCGAAAAAAAAAATAAAAACATAGTGCGACCCCTCAATGGGACAACTGGAAGCGCACGTGTGAGAAAAAATGTACGTGGTGATCTAAGTACCGTGCCGCGAACATTGATTGGCTGAGTCATCGAAGGGCCGATTTCCCAGAAAATGTCAATGGATAGGCATCAGATAGCAATTTTGGAACGGGAGATAATATTCAGGCGTTGCGGACACGATTCCAAAGAGAATGTGTCTTGATGATGTACTTAGATAACCTAGAGATAAAACGATAGTTCGGGAAAGGCATAAACGCGAATACAGTTTATGACTTATTATTATTATTATTATTACATTTCGATTTCTGTTAGGATCACACTACCTATTAAGTCTGCGGGAAGACCTAAGGCAGATAGTGGTGTGTTGCTATGGTTACATTTCATGAATTGTTTTTCTAACTCATATAACATCACCAGCGTTACATGGACAACGTTCTGAGTGTGCGGGCTGTACTTATCATGACAATTTTTCCAGGAGTTTTTTCAAAGTTTTGTCGTGTTCCTTTTTTGTCACACCAAAGTACATCTACTTTGACTGGTACTAATCTTGTTTTCAATTTCCACATTTTTCTATTTCGATTTCGTGGTCGTTGTACTTCGAAAGTTTTTCAAATCTTTTGGTTTCCATGTCCACCGGGCAAGCCGTATCAATTTAGTAGGTAAGTTTTTCCTTTTGATTTTCGGCAATTATTTCCGGCCTATTTGATTCAGTCTTCCTGTCTGTAAAAATGGTGTAATCCAATAGAATTGTGATGTTTATATATCTGTAACTGGTGTGGTATTTGTTAGCATCTTTTGTAAAGTGTTTGCACATTGTCCAGTGTAGATATTGATCCCCTCTATCGTGACAAAGTTTATATTCATTCGGCGCAAGTACATAACATCCTGAGATCAGACTGTCTATTGTTTCCTGATATTTGTCATAGAACCTACATTTTGGATTCATATTGTTATGTATGATATTTACGTGAAATTTTCAAATGAAAAAGACTCTGGACTTGCACTGCAAAAATAAATCCTTCTGTTTCAGCATTTAATCCAGATGCTCGCAACCATCAACGAGTTTTAGCATTATCAACACTGGCTTTATTAGCTAGTTCTGGATATTGGGCAAACAGAGTGTTGTCTATCCAGCGATGTTTCCACTGTTCAAGAGCTTCATGCTTGGATTTCTATTTATAATTTTAGCTGCAACAGTTTGTTCTTAGGTTCTATTCTAAATTTAAATTTTATTTGTATTTAGAACCTTCTTTCATGATTGATTTTTTTGTTGTTTTCGTATTGTTTCAATAATTGTATCAACTAATCCTTTGTTGTTTCCATTTATCTTACTTGTTTTTATTATTATTTTATTTTATTTGATTTCTGTTGTATATACATTTCTTTCCAGTTCCCGGCCAGAAATCTATGGTCCAAAATGGCCTGATAACTTTTTCCATTGAACATTTTGGAAAATAAAATCAAATATAATAAAACACAAAATGTACTTAGAATAAAATGTATTGAAACAAGAAAGTGTACACAATATTTACATATAGTCTTTTGTATATTCCTGGGAAGACCGTTCCTGGAGAATGGGTTGACAGTCGCAGTCGGGCAGAGTCTCTGGATTGAATCACTTGATTCCTCTCCTCGTCTTCCCGGTACCAACCATATTTATATGGTCGGTACTCCACATGTGCAAATTAGGTGGATCCTACCACAACAATAAGAAAAAAATTAAAATCATACATATTTTACATAGATATCGCCTTTTGCAAAGTGTGTGCTGTATTTGTGAGAAGCAAGTATTTATTTTACGTTTCCTTTCCGTAAAAGTTTTATATTTTCCAATGCAAATATTGGCCTCATTCTCTCATGCCGTGTTTTTTATTCAGTGGGTGTCAATACCGGGAAACCTGAACCAAGATTGTCAGTTGTTTCTAGATACTCATCACAGAATCTGCATTTTGGGATAACATAGTTTTTCAGTATATGTGCTTGATAATTTCAAAGTTCGCAATCATTGGTCCTGTGTAGAAGGAGTAAAATCGTCGGTTTTAGCTTTTAACCCTGCACTATGTATCCACTAAACGGTACGGGGTTTGTCTACATCAGCTTGTTTGATACGGGCAGAGTATTGAATGTGAAGCCGTTTATCTTGCCACCGT